CCTGCTGAGGTAGAAATCGTCCAAGATTCCTTCATCATCCTGCTGAGGTAGTAATCGTCAAAGATTCCTTCATCATCCTGCTGAGGTAGAAGTTGTCATAGGTTCCTGCATCATCCTGTTGAGGTAGTAATCGTCCAAGATTCCTTCATCATCTTGCTGAGGTAGTAATCGTCCAAGATTCCTTCATCATCTGTTTGGAGTAGCAATCGTCTCAGATTCCTTCATCACACATCATTATCAGCAAAGACCTTCTCTGGTTAGATTTATTTCTTCCAGTTAAAACAGGCAACTAAAGACCTCCTCTGGTTAGATTTATTTCTTCCAGTTAATGACAGGCAATCAGAGACCCTCAAATAACAGTCCAGTTACGATCCAGATTCGGATGTAATTCTGTCACTCATTCAAATACAGTCCAACAATCATTTCTGGATGGCATCTTTAAGCCCATATCCAACAACTATCCATCATCTCTCCAAATGGCATCTGTAAGCCCATTCCCGACATCACAATCCTGATATTACACCATGCGAGTGCAAATTTCTGGGCACTCTAGTGTTCAATTATCTTCCACCTTCGGATCATGAAAGGCTCGAAAGCCAATCTATATCCTCAGGTTTAAGAAAATTGAACAGGGGCAACTGTTGTACCCCAAAATTTTCCCTCTCATGTTTCCCAAGGTCTTCCCCCTGCATGGTTGATCATAAACTCTTGCCTAAGGAAAAGGAAAATTTTTGAGTGGTGCTTTAAGTACATTTCGATTGGCATTCTGAAAGACCCTTCGATTGGTGTTCTGAAGGAGCCTTTCGATTGGCATTCTGTCAAGCTCTTCGATTGACATTATGGACAAGCATTTCGATTGGCATTATGTCAAGGCTTTCGATTAGCATTCTGAAAGACCCTTCGATTGGTATTCTGAAGGAGCCTTTCGATTGGCATTATGGACAAGTACTTCGATTGGCATTATAATAGTGTCCTTCGATTGGAATTCCAAAAAGGTCCATTCGAAGAAGCATTCAAAGGGTCCATTAGAAGAAGATTTTGAAAAGCATTCGAAGGAGGCCATCAGCCCATTCGAAAGGGAGCATTCGAAGGCCAGTTACATGTCATTCAAAATTCAAAAAGGGACAAGATCCCATGTGTTTAGCCAACGTTACAAACTCTCATTCATGGCTTTCAAACACATAATCAACGTTACAAATTCTTATTCATGGCTGTCAAACACATAATCAAGGTCATTTAAACCTTTGTCTTCCTGTCCCCTCCACCCCCTCTATATAAAGAGATCACAAGTGTTGCAAAAAAGGAGGAAAATATACAGAAAAAATAGAGAAAAGAAACTGGGAGAACTTGGAGATACGCTGCCAAAAATCATCAGCACTTCCAGGAAGCCATGCCCAATCCTTGCACCATCCATTCCACACTCAAAATCATAGATCAAAGCACTTCTGTTTGGTAAAAAGAAATCTAATCTCAAACTCATTTCGATCTCTGATTGCATATTCACGTTATTACTGTTGTTTGTGAATGATTTAATGTGCTACATATAAGCTACCGCGTAGAGATGAGATTGTGCCATTGCTTGGGCACAATCTGAGTTTCTCCTTCGAATCCCAGGATAAAATAAACCCAGACCCAGATTCAGCAGGTGCAAATAGGGAGGAGATTTGAATCAGGGGGGTAAAGTCCCCCCTGGACCTTTAACATGTGTTTCGTTTTTGCAGGAAATATATTCTCAGGATCCTGTTCAGAGTTTCGAAGCTCAGCAGCTTAGCTTCGAACTGGACCCAGGACTTCCAGATCGAAGGATGACATATCCAGATCGAACACCCTCAGAGTGCAGCCCCTCATGCACCTTCGATCCAGCCTCTTCACTGGGTCGAAAGACAGCCCACACTTCTTTCGACCCAGGCTTCAGAATTATTTTGTTTTTCTTGATTTACTGCCTGATTTCATTTTCGTTTGGACCATTTTATTTGTTTTTTTAATCAACATAAAAATCATAAAAATAAGTAACTTAGAATTAGGATTTAACTTAGTTAATCATTTTAACTTATTTTCTCAAATTTTAAAATCAGTAAACTTAGGATTTATTTAAATTCAACCCTTTTCATAAACAAAAAAATGCAAAAAAATATTAAGTATGTTTTGGAGTTAATTTTAATCAGTTTTTTTTTAATTAATTAAATTTGACTTAATTGAACATTTAGCATTTTCCCAAAAAAATAAAATAAAACAACAAAAGTTCTTATTCTTAGGATTTTTCAGATTCACGCGCGTTTATTTTATTGTAACTGCTTACTGGTTTGTGGTAGCTTAAATTAAGACTTTTACTTTACTGCTTTTATTCCCCCAATTTTTGGACATGTAAATAATCCCCCGAAGCCTTGTAATAGCGTAGGATTTACAATTTCTGCACTTTAAATTCCTATACATATATTAACTGCTTAGATGTATGCTAACTATTGGAATCTCTTATAAACACACCATCCCTCAAAGAGATAAATGATAGGCTCTAAGTCATACACCAATTTCTTCACTACCCAAAGACCATTACACTCACAAACACCATAACATATTCAAGCAAAGTAACCTCTCGCCTGCAACCCAATAGCACCAGCCACTTACAAGACCTCTCACCCCATGTGATTGGATCACTTAAACAACTCAAAAACCACTACACAGGGCTACTCGCTACAGTGAGTAAGTTGTCACCTTCCAAACGTGTAATATACCTACTAGGAACACGCCCTTGCAGGAGGAACACACACACACACCTGTACTTTTTGAACAATTCAGTTGCCAATTTGTTTTTGATTCACAAATGATTTGTGTTTTTGTTTCTGGTCTATTTATGATTCACAAAAATACAGGTTAAACAAACTAAGAATTATGTAAAATAAAAAATATATATATTAGAAAAAACAAATTATTTAACCATGATTGGTTATTTCAACTATGGTTATATCTAGCACGCTATCCAATTTAATAAATGCCAAAAATGACATTGATGGGTATCAAACACATGAACTTTTAATTTTTCACTATGATTGGTTATTACAAGTGTAGGGTATGTAGCACGCTATCAACCGTAGTTAAATGTCCATTTCAACCAATGTGAAATGTGTATTCTACAGTGGTGCTCAGACCGGGTGAAGCCTATCTTCGATCTTTACTTCTACTTTTTAAGATTTCTCACTCGATTTTCTCTTTGTTTTCAGATTTCTGTTGTATCAAATTACTCAAATGGGATGATGTGACCTCTATTTATAGGGGTTCGTCAAGGCATTTCTACCTAGCGACAACATCATTTCGCCCGACGAACATACCTTTCTTCCCCAAGAAGTTTCTTCCAGTTAATCCAAGTGGGCTCTAAACCATCATATTTCTTCGCCTACAAGCACTTCCTTGCTTCACCACGAAGTAACTTAGTTAAGTGGGGCTCTGAACAACCCTATTTTTGCCCAGCGGCATAGTAACTTTGTCTATCGAGAAACTCTTTTCACCAAGAAGTACATCCTTTCTTTTCTAGTGACAAAGTTAACTCGCCCATCAAGAATACCAATAATAGATCCTCTACTTAATGCCTTATTTCGTTGAATGAGCCTTTGCTCGCTCCAGGAACCCTTTGTTGTTCAACATCCTCTGATCTGCAATCCTTTTTGTTTTCTAACTTTGTTTAACCTACATTAAGCCATAGTCATAATGTTCATAAAGATGCTAAAATTCAAGTTTATCCCTCATTTATATTGAATTTAGAGATTTTCATAAGATTACTTATTAGATAAGTTAATAAGTACCCTAAAATGTATATGTAAAAACACATCATTTTAGAACTTTTCAACTCTCTCCAACTTAGTTTTTTTTCACCCTCAAACAAAAATCATATAAAAACCAAATAGTTATATACAATAAATCCAAGCATGAAATAAATCATTTAAAGTTTATATGATTTTTATAAAATATAAACTCAATATCAAATTCACAATCATCAATAAATCCAATCATGAAAATTAAAACATCATGTTTAGACGTCAACCTACAACTCATTTAACTCTCAACCGATTCTGCATCAGCTCATAGCCAAACCATTACACTTTAACTTAATAGGTCATACATAATTTGACTATTTGTTTTTTTTTAGAAACAACATGTACGTACTTATACTCAACTATCTGTTGTGATAGATTGAAGTACCTTTGTCTCTCAATAATCCATTTTGCTCGTAAAAACCATCTTTTTTATCACTTTAAGACGTCCTTTTAGACAGGGTGAGCAATCAATTCACAAAGGAAAATCTTAAAGACAATTCTAGGTGGTTTGGGTTGTGTAAGGATAAGTATATATATTCCCCTCCCAATATTTGTTTCATATTTTTAGCTTTGTCTTCTTCTCAATTATAAGCCACTACATTATTGTGCATATTAGAACACTTTCCTTTATGATATTTCTACCTTTCTACCCGGGGTGATTTATTTATTTATTTATTTTTTTGTTGATAAACAAGATGAATGAATTAAAATCAAGCCAGAGTACTAAGAAAAAGTTATTTTAGATAAAAATATATTTAATAATATTAATTAAAATTTTTCATATCTATTGCTCAACATGTAACAATACAATCTAATATAAATAAAAGTCTAACATGTGATCTTTTATGGTCAATCCTGTTTGACACCATTTTTATACGTGTCAATTTTTTATTGAAAAAAAGTACCAAACATAATAAAAGAACTTTGTTTAATTTTATATACTCTGGGACCATGGTGTTCCCGTGTGTGTCGTTACTACTTAGTTGAAATATGAGCATATAAAAAAGTTAGTAAAATAAGGCTGCTCTATAGACCACAAGAATCATGATCTTTCCATTTTTTTTCCCTATTTCTTAAATTCACACACTAGGGTTAGGGTTAGTCAATACCAATAGCACACTCCTTGGTATATATATAGCTAGAACCATCGCTATAAACATATAACCATCAAGTATAGTGCTTCTTGAAGGGATGAAGAAGCGACAAGTTGTGTTGAAAAGAGAAGAGGCTAAAACTTCATCTTCAATTACAAGAAATATTCGATATGGAGAGTGCCAGAAGAATCATGCAGCAATTATTGGAGGGTATGCCGTGGATGGTTGCAGGGAGTTCATGGCTAGCACAGGAGAAGAAGGAACAGGTGGGGCTCTTACATGTGCTGCTTGTGGTTGTCATAGGAACTTTCATAGAAGGGAAGTGCAAACTGAAGTTGTTTGTGAGTACTCTCCACCTAATTCTGGTCGATGATATCATCGATCTCTCGATGAAACTTCATACCTCTATTTTTATCCATATTTTTGCAGATCCATCTAATCTTGTACAGATCCGTGTAAGATTGGATGAATTCATGCGAAGATCATTTACAAGAAAGGTTAAAATATACAGATAGACTGCAAGATTGTGTATTAATAATTAACTGATTGATTTTTATCCTTGTACAAAATTTTCAAACTTCAGGGTTTGTGATTATATTACCTAATTTAGGTTTTCTTTTCTTTTCCCCTTCCATTTTTTACCTTCTGGTAAGCAAGGTGTGTTTTGTTTCCCCTTTGATACTGTAATATTAATTTATTGATCTGATGTGTTTAAGTACATCTCTATTTCATTTGTTAATTATTGCTTTAGAACTTAATAAAATATATTGCAAATAGCAATAAAATGCCAAGGTTTCTAATTTTGCTACTAAGTGAGATATATAATCAAATTAATAATATTTAGGCTTTGCATATATATATATATATATATATATATATATATATATATATATATATATATATATATATATATATATATATATATATATATATATATATATATATATATATATATAATAAGGAAGAAGTAAAAAATTTAGATAGAAAGGTATAGATTAAGAGTTAATTGGTATCAATATATATATTTTTATATATCTTAAATAAAATAGAAAAGGCTTAACTGGAGTGCCAAAAAACAAGAGAGCCACAAATGAATATATAAAGAAAAACAAATGAGAAAAATGGATTGTCTGCACTAACATATCAAGTTGACGAATATATGATGAGATTCATCTAATTTAAATAAATAAAAAATGCATACTAATTTACTACTGTGTGATTTATCAAATTTTGAATGCATGAAATTTAGGTTAAGAAGATGAATGGTAACTAGGTGAGAAAAAGCTTCAAAATATAAAAGACCACTCACAATGGAGTATGCTGTGGTGCTTATTTGTTTAATCTTCCATTTCAAGTTGGGAATACTTATCAAGTTAATTTAGCGCCTAGAGGCACACAAATTTTTTTCCACATATGAAATCTGAACGCTCAATTTAATTTATTGATTCATAAAAAATATAAGGCATTAGTATTATAGATGAGAAATTGTAGATTATGCTGACGAATTCAAATGGATGCTAACCACGTATTTTTTATTATTGTCTTTTCTTCAAAAGCAAGAAAACATATTAGTGCATATGTGATGAAAAAATATTCTGTCCCAATTATGTACTATTCAACTATTATAATTCCTTAGAGCCCACTTATGTTCAATCATAGGATGATATGTCTTAGAATATTTCCATTCATTTATACTTTATATACTCCTTCAATCTCTATATATAAGGTTTTTCTTATTTATTCCTTACCTATATATCAAATTAATAAATAGTAATCATATAAAAGTTGAGAAAAAGCTCACAATAACTCAATTCAAACTGTCAGGTGTAGCAGACCTGATGTCTTATACTTTTGGTTTAGGATATCACACTCGACATGTTGAATCTGTAATTTAAAACATATTGTTCAACATGTTGCTGTAAAGTTAGTTTTATCAAAATTCATGTCAATCATGATTTCAGAGAAATAACACTCTCCCTTTGGTCAATTTTGACTGAAACAACCAAATAATCTGTCCACAAGAAAATACCATAATCATGTTTGAAAATTCCTCAAACACACACATCAGAGGCACCACAGTAAAACAAACATAACAACTGAGTTATGAGCAGCAATACAACCAAAGAAATAATTAGTAGTTATTCAGTATACTAAACCCAACTGCAACAAATAGAGAAACTAGATTCTCAACACCGTGATGTCAAGACATCATATCTGACAACTCTTCAGATCCCTTCAGTCCAGAACAGTAGGGACTCCCCCTCAACACCTACTAACACACCAGAGAATAAGAGATTCTCCCCCTCAATAGCAGTCAACAATCAGTGGTTAGTGCGTACACATGCACACACATACTTCTCCCATTTTTAGTCATAATATGACTAAGAAAACAACTAACTAAAATAAACCACAGTAGCACAAATAGGCTTCTTCGTCAACAAAGTCTAGGATAATTCTTAGACTTATCCATAAGCACAGAAGCATAAACATAATGTCTCCCACTGGACTTCAAATGCACTCATTTCAGGCTTCAAGAGCGATGCAACCCAAGATACCAGAACATCACAAGTGGTATCTCCAAGAAGACCGTACATTAGGCCCTATCAAACACTGCAGAAAAATCATACTGTCTCTTGGAGTAGAACAATACAGACTAGCTTCTCCTGGCTAGAATCACACAAACCCAGTTAAGGGCATACACAATGTTGTACCCCAAAATTTTCCCTCCCAGTTTTCATTCAAGGTATTCTCCTAGGGTTCTTAAACGCTTAAGGTGGCTCAAGAATTGATCAGACAAATTCTCCACCTAAGTAATGGGTCCATAACTAGGGTTTGGTATTTCTCAAGCAAGATTGGGTTTCCAAGATCTCAACTGGTTTTCATGGTGCTTCATATGTATTCAAGAACTCTAATATAAAATTTCATATCTTGCATCACAAGTTTGCTCAGTCAATTGCTCGGATGACTGAAAATCAACTGTATTGGGTAAAAAGTCAACATTTTCAAGATCAAGTTCAAACGATCATAACTTCTACATTATTCAAAAAAATTGAGTGATTTTTTTTTACGTATGACTCTCCTTAACGTCATCTCCAATTTCTCTTTACAAGTAAAGAGCTGATCATATGCACAAGATCATCAAAAATTCGAATATTTTAGAGGTCGCTTTGTGGGCTTTGACCTAATTTCAAGTTTTTTTGTTGTTTCCTGACTTCCGAGGATCGTAACTTCTATAATATTCAGCATTTTGGGACGATTCTTTTTGCATGTTGTCATAAGCGGTGTCGTCTACAAGTTTTCTTCAAGGATCGAAGGCAAGTTGTGCTTACAAAGATCATGAAAGTTATTGAATCGTTATAGGTCATTTCTTGACTTAGAATGTTCTTAACTTCTAATTTCAATTCATGCCATAATCATTTCTTTATATACTTTGATTCTTATGATGAGATCATTCACAAAACTAGATTTTTGAGTTTGAAGATTCTTCGATTGGTTGTTTGCTTATAATTCAAGTAATTCGTGTTTGAGTGTTAGTGATTATTTGATCGAAGTTGGATTTTGATTAAAGTTCTTAAGGCATTGGTTTGTTCGCCAAGATTCGATTAATTGAAGTTCTAAGATTCAACTTTCATTCATTTTATACAAATCCTTTTGATCCAAGGTCATTATGCCAAAATAGGAGATACATCTATATTCATACTTCCCACAATTCACAATGCTGATTTTAGATGTCATCTTAAATAAAATAAAATAAAACAACATTTCTAAAGGTTGACGTCTAAGGATAGCTTTACTAGTTTTATCATGCTGCAGCAAGTCTCTAACTTTTCTCAAGCTGCAGCAAGTCTCTAACTTGTCATGCTACACCATGTTTCAAATATAATAAAATCTAAGCCATGTTTCACCAAAAGTTCTCATTTTTCATTCAAATATTCCATGTCATAACAAAGTTACATATTCAATTTACAAATAATCAAATACATTAATTCAAGATGACCAAGTCTTGTATCTAAATGACATCAATCTCCCAAAATTCATCCAAAACTTAGTTTCAATGTGTCCAAACTTCTTAATGCCCATAAAACACCAAAGAAACCAGTAAAAAAAAGCAGTTTGCTGGCCTATGCTACAAGACATGCGCCATGTCCACAGAAAAATCAGTACACCATAGCCCAAGACCAAGCTTTTGTCCGACCTGCACAAAAAACCATCAAAACAATCCAAGAACTAGCCTCTAAAACCTACACAAAGCAGTCCATAACCTACAGCAAACATCAGTCCAGAAATTGCACAATTCAGTAAAATAAAAATCTGCATCAATAAAGCAATGAAACAGTAACCAAAAGTATTCAAACTCACCAACATTTCCCTCCCAAAACTCCCCTTACTGATCTATATATTCAACCTTCACTCACTCTTCAAAGAGGAGACAGAAGAAAAACAAAAACTCCATAATACCTCACTTTTCACTCTCCTCACAAACCAAAACTGCTCCCAAAACTCTCTGCACAAATACTTCAAACTCCATGCATAACAGAACCCTTTAAACTCCTAGCCATACCTTCATTCTCACCTCTGCTCAACCATAATCCCTACAAACTCACAGAAAACCACAAAAAATATCACAACATAACAAACAATCAACTTTTATTTTAATTTTTTATAATATTAGAATTTTAATTTAGTCTAGATAACTTTTATTTTAGTTACATCTCTATTCTATATTTTTTACTTTCTTTTCTATCAAAACACACAAAAAAACTATTTTCTTTTTCTCGTAGTTTATTATTTTTGCATTTTTTATTATTATTATAACTGTTACGGTTTGTAATAGTTTAATTAGGCTTTGTTACTTTTCCCCATTCATAAATTTGTACCCCCATTCCCGAAGTATTGTAATAGCGTAGAACTTTATTTTCCGCACTTTACCGCATTTCCTTATACTATATAATAATCAGGCGTGTATGGCAAGATTTAAAATCAACCGCTAGATAATCCTAACTAAGACTAATTAACTGAAATCAAACACTATTCACAGAAGCACCTCTAGGGTTAACCTCACTTGTTGCCTCAGATATAAACAGTCATGTCCCTCGAATATGGGACACTTTAGCAAAGACCCTCGATAGAAAAAGATCGTAGTCCCTCGACGACCCTTCAATGTTGCCTTCGATGAAACGATCTTAGTCTCTTACAAAAATTGCTAAAGTGTCTCACAAGTTGCCTTCTATGATTGTACGATAGCTCGCGCCTGCCCCTAACATCCAATGATATGGCTCCCTACCAACCAATGGTAAAGTAGAACTATCTAAAGGAGGAGGAAAAGAACAAAGACTTTTTAGTAGGTAAATTGCTCGTAATTGCTTGCTCACAAACTAAAAAAATCTTCACGCCTCATACTTAAAAAAAAACTCTTTTCAAAACACTTTCCAAAAACAATCATTTTGTATATATTCTCAAAGATACGAGAATCATTACAAAATGGCCTTACATTGGCACCTTCAAAACATCTTTC